GCTGGATGTGAGCTGGTCTCCTACCACTGGAAAACACCTTGTTTTAGGATACACGGTGATTCTGTTTGTCTTTTTTCCTTCCTAGAAATCTAAATGTTAGTAGGGCATGGTGTTGCATGCCTGTAATCCCAGCACTCGGTAGGCTGAGGCAGGAGGATTGCTGTGAGTTTGAGGCAAGCCTGGGTTACATAATGAGCTCAAGGTTAGCCTGAACTACAAAGCGAGATCCTGCCTCAAAAAAAAAAGAACCTAAATGCTAGAGAACTTTCTTTTCTGAAGACTTGGTTGTAGCCTTGGCTTTGGTTGTGCACCGTGGGGAGACGATAATCGGCTCTAAGGTGCAGGTGGGGTCAGGTTCCTCCAAGCACTAAGAACCGCTGGCCTTGACTGAGCACAGGTTCCTCTCTGAACGGCCATCCCTGGGTTACAGCTCCGAGTCTTTTGCGATGGCCTTGGCAGTGAGCCCGCTCCATCCTCCCATGTCCCCCTTTCCTAAGTTTCTCTTCCTATCCAGTGAGGTGATAATTTGGTCTCCACCACAGGCTGTTTCCAGCTTAGGGTAGGGGAGCTGCCCACGCGGGAGGTGTTTTTCTCGGGCGGGGAAGGTCCGGCTCTGGGAAGAAGACGGCTCAGCGTGAAGATCACCTCACTCACTGGTCTGCGAACAGCGCCTTCGCAGCCTGGTGTGAGGTTCTGTGCTGGCCTGCACGTGTCAGGTGCTGGCGCTGGAGCTCCTCCCAGCCGGGAAGGCAGGGGAGGGGTCGTGCTGCCTCTTGTGCCTGGAACCCCATCTTAGGCTGCACTGGCCTCGGCGAGGCTGGACCAGGGTTCAGCCTGCAGGACGCACCTTGCTCGGCCGCATGTTCTCAGCTGGCGCTGTGATGCGTGGAGTGCACCACCCTGTCAAAGGCCCCACCCTGTCACCAGACACTGTGCTCTCCAGTCCGGAGGATGGGGGAGGGGCGGCTCAGGGCCGGGTGGGTGTCTGCAGACGCCTTGGAGGCTCAGTATGGAAGCTCCAGGGCTTTTTACATTAAGGTTTTGAACATTTTTATGTACTTTAACTTTTTTTTTTTTAATTCCAAGAGGAACTTTTTATTTTTAATTCCTGGAAACATATTGTGAATCCGTGAAGGGCTGATTGAGGAGAGGTGGAAAATCCCGTGGGGGAGGCCTCCGTTCATGGTGCGGAAGCCAAGCCCAGGAGGTGAAGTGGCTTCTCCCGCCCGCCAGCCACAGCAGAGGGTCCTCCCTCCCACCCGAGCGACTGCACCACCACGGGAGCCCACAGGGCCTTGTGACTACACAGAGCCCGGCTCTCCTCACAGAAGAGCCAAAGAACAAGGAGAAAGGGCTCTCGGGAATGCTTGACTTTACAATTATTTACACGAAAGCCAAATTCATGGACAGTGGATGTTGCTGAGAAGGGTTTGTAGGAACCCAGTTGTAATGTAGCTGATCAGTGCATACACTGGATCATTGCCTTACTGGGGAAATAAGCCTACTGCATACGTCAGGATGAGCCTCCAAAAGCGTTGCTCATACAAGCCAAGGCTAAAAGCCGGTCAGTTTTTGTCCAGTTGGACACACGTAGCCCTGGGACCACTTTGCAGTCCATTCTTCAAGTAAAGTCTGTGGTCAGCCGGGCGTGGTGGCACACACCTGTAATCCCAGCACTTGGGAGGCTGAGGGAGGAAGATCGTTGTGAGTTCGAGACCAGCCTGGCTACAAAGTGAGCTCAAGGCCAGCCTGAGCTACATAGCGAGACCCCGTCTCAAAAGACCAAACCAAACAAAAAAAACCAACCAAACCAAACAAAAAAAAGCTGGTGTCACGCAAAGAGCAAAATATCTGGAAATCCAGCTCTGGCTTTCTGTTCTGCACAGCAGCTCCGCATCTGGGACACTCAGTAAATCAAGCTCGCCTTCTGAGCCTTCTCTGTGGGGAAGCAGTGGCGAGAATGAAGGGGAATGTGCCTGCATGTGCGTGTGCCCGTCTAAATGGAATTGTGGCCTTTAGGGGGCAGAGTCTTGTGCTAAGAACCAAACGGAGAGAGCAGGGCTCAAGGTCCTTCATGCCTAACACTCGCGGTACCCCAGCATCCTTGGAGCGAGACCTGGTCTCCCTCACTGGTTCCTGGAGTCCCCAGCGCAGCAGGCCAACTCTCGGCTCTGAGTGCAGCTCACAGCACAGCACTGATAAAGTCTCCCTAAGAAGCACTTGGCTTTTGATGTTGACATCCTGGGCCTGTGGTCTGTTTCCTGTTTCTGTTTCACTAGAATGTGGTGCTTTTGCTAGGTTAGATTCTAGAATTGGAAAACGCCCTATGAGCTCTCTGTAGAGTCTTCCAGCAAGTACCTGGACACCTCTGCCTGTGAGCCACAGCTCTCATGGGGACAAATGATCGTCCTTGACTTGCTTCTCCTGGGGGGGCATGTGATCCCCCCAAGGTTGTGTCAAACTGTACGAAGTGTTTCCATGTGCACATCTGTTGAACTGGGACTTGGTGGTAGCTACAGCCATTGTTGGCCCAGATGTTTGTGATGGATATAATTGAGGCTCCTATGTGTTTGCCTAGGTTTGCTCAGCCTGTAACAGCTGTTGCTAGCTGTTTCTTTGTTTTCTCTCTTCATTCATTGTTCATAGAGGTTTGGGTCCTGTCAAATTAAATGAAAGGTACGAACACTTCCACTAAGATATATGAATGTCCTCAATATTTAACGCTGATACTCGTGGTGCTTGTTATTAGAGCCACTGGTCGCACACTGCTTCCTGCTGGCCTTGCTTTGGGAGGCTGAGAGGAGGTGGGTGGGGCCGACACCATGGAGTGGGCGAGCCTAAAGCCATGGAGATTAGCCTCGGTGATACTGTGGTCAGCTGCCCACTGCTGTGAGAAGTTCCTGAGCCCCTCGTCTGCACAGGAGGACCTATTTGGGCTCATGGTTTCAGAGGTTCAGCCCATGGTTGTTGGCCCTGTCACTCAGGGCCTGGGCTGAATAGAACGTCGTGGTGGGGAGCATGTAGTGGGCAGGTCCTTGGCATTCCTCTCAAGGACACACCCCCAACGACCTCATCCTCAACTGGGCCTCATACCCCAAGGTGTCACCATCTCCCACAGTGCCCTGGCTAGCACCAGACCTTCGGTGCATGAGCTCTCAGGGGACATTTAAGATCCAACCACAGCAGTTACATTATCTTCCGCAGTGCTCAGGTGATGTTAGATCTCGTGACTGAGCAGACCAGACCAGACACCAGTGAGTGGTGTGACACAGCGGTGATGGTTGCTGGGCAGCAGCAGCTCTGGCAGTGGTCAGACTCTGGTGAACCAGCTTGGATGTCTGTCCCAGTTGAGAGGCAGTGTTTGTGTCACACATGATCGCTTAGCCTTCTAAGCAAGGTGGTCAGCTGTCCTCAGCCTGGAATTCTCATGCTGGTAGAGTCGATTTATCCTCAGGATCTATGAGTTTTCCATCTTTGTTTCCAAAGGCTTGGAATCTGTTTTTGGAAGCTGTTTTTGGAAAATAATCTCTAAAATTAATAGATATGTATCTTGGTTCTTCTGGGTGAGTACTTTAGCTCTGAGCACCAACACAGCTTATGGAGCTCACAGGAAGGAATGGATCTGACCTTGAGCTTTTGCCCGCAGCAGGGATGAGGGTTTTACTACAAGGTGCAGGTTGTTCCTTTTCCATGATCAACTCCTGCTGTACCGTTCCTTATTTCTGTTAACTTTTCCCAGGGAGGGATTCACATCACGAGTGGGTTTGGGCTTGAAAGGACCTGGTGATGCTGAGGTCCAGCCTCAAGTGGTCAGGCACCTCCCCGAGGTGTCTCAGCCCTTGGAGCAGTGTGCTGCTCTGCGTCTCAGGACTCATACTCCTGTGCCTTCCCCTGCCTGATTTCACTTTTGGACGGCTTTCATTGTTCCCGCTGTTGGGCTGGACCCTGGCTCTGTAGAACCTGTTTGAAAGCACTTGTTCTCATCCCGAACTCTGGAGCCAGGCCAAGCAAGCGTAACCGTGGGCAGGTTCTCTGGTAAGGAACGTCGTGGTTGTGCATTGAATCATTTAGCTTTTTCTGGGAAGGTCTGGGTTTTTTTCAAAGCCAGTGGACTGGTCTTGTGGATGAGGCAAGAATGTACCGGTACATTTGTGTCTTGAGCATAAACTACATTTTTGAATTTAGTTTTAAAAATTCTTAAAATAATGGAACCCCTTTTAAAAAGTAACAAAGGAACCTCTCTGTTTAGAATGACTCAGGCCAGGGCACGATTGCACATTTGAATCCACCTGGGCAACTTAGTGGAACATGTCTCAAAGTAAAGTTTTAAAAAAGGTCTGGAACTTAGCTCAGTGCTGAAACGCTGGCCTCGACCCAGTCCCCAGGACCAGGGAGGGAGAGATTGGCATATCTTACCATGACTTTTGAAAATGTGAATGTTAAAAAGATTATCTATTGAAAAATCTAGATTCTATAATGTTTCCTTTAAAGAGGAATTTTAAGTAGGGATGTCTTTACACTATTTCAAGAGCAGAAAATGTGGAAAGGTATTGAGAACACTGCCTATACTGACCCGGTCCTCCCACCCCTTGCGCTGTTGATCACGCCAGGGTTTTGAAATGCTAAGACCACAAACAGAAATGCAAGTGTGTTTTTAAAACAGGTATTTATTAAGAAAAAGCATGTATACTGTGAAACTCATATATCCTATTTGATCTCATTTTATGTGATCCTGGAAGATACTGGCACAATTCCAGAAGAGGCAGCTTTATGAGCTTTGTGGTGTGGGTACTTGCAAAGAGTGGAAATTGACTTATTAATAAATAAGACCTTTTTACCTTCAAGTAACACCCTTGATTTTATTTAGTGACTTTCCCCTGAGCACACCGCAGCG